AAGAGAAGATGACCCTGGATGAGATGGACTGACTCAGTGACTGGAGTTATGGGGGTAGGTGTGTCAGAGACAATGAGGTTGACTCAAGTAAAGCAAGGGTTCAGAACTGCTGAACACAAGGTCGTTGTGAGTTTCAAGAGACTCAATAGCACATAACATCATCAGAGTTCAGAAAGTAACCAGTAATGAGATCTAAAGAGCAAGGAAAAAAATTGTGACATTTCATTTAATAACTTACTTTTCTTGTCAATTACCAAATAAGGCTATGGTTACCTGGCGTAGAACATCCACATCCAGTTCGTGGAATATCAGAGAACATCTGTAGTAGTTTGGGATCTACTAACTGACATCATTTTCTTAATGGCTTCTCACTGACTTATACATCATACTACTACCTACAGGGCCATATACAACTTAGCCACTGCCTATGAGTACCATCTCTCTAAGGTCCTCATTTTATAAATTAAGAAACTGAAGCACTGGTTAAAAAAATTTGTCCTTTCATACTAACAGGAAGCGATTATTGTTATGTCATTGAGTCAGAACTGACTCATAGCTGACCCTCCAGGTTTTGAGAGGCTATACATCACACAGGAGGAGACTATCCATTATTCTCCCTCAAGAAAATAATTAGAGCCAGGATTTCAACCATGAAGTGTAGATCTAGTTTCTTTCCATCAAGCTATATATTCCAATATTATCAACAAGTATAAGAAGTCAGTCTGGAGACTAAGGTGTGCCTGATCCGGGTTACAGTCTTCACAATTAATGTGCTATGGATCAGAGAGTTGGACAGTGAATAGGGCTGATAGAAAGAGGATTGATGCCTTTGAGCTCTGGTGCTGGAGAAGAGTGTTGAATATACCATGGACTGCTAGAACAAACAGGTTTGTCCTGGAGAGGGTGAAGCCAGAGTATTCCCTGGAGTCAAGGATTCTGAAGCTTCATCTGACATATTTTGGGCATGTTGCAAGGAGGGACTGGTCCTTGGAAAGGGACATCATGTTTGGCAGAGTGGAGGGGAAGTGAAGGAGAGGAAGACCTTTGGTGAGATGGATCGATTCTGTGACTGGAGCGGTGGGAATAAGTGCGTTTGAGATGGCTAGGTTGGCACAGGATGGAACAGCATTTAGAGTTCTTGTACATAGGGTCGCTATGAGTCGCAAGCGACTCGATGGCACCTAACAACAACATAATTTGAAGCCTCTTAAACAAAAAGCAACACTAACACACACACACACACACACACGGCTAGACCACATACCAGAGTAGTGCAAACTACTCTGTAGTAATGTCAATGTGCCCTATTTAATACACAAAAGCAACATACTGATAACAGAAATGTTGTTCTCTTATGGTTTAACAAAACAGGGATTTGGCATTAGACATTCAATGGCTAGAATCTGCCACCAACAAACAGTTGAGCAAATTATTTCCCACTCATTACTTCTGCCCAAGCCCTGCCCTAGGGTCAACTGTTCTCAAATGTCTATATGTAAAGTTTACACCTTTCTGTTATACTCCCTAGACTCCAGGAGGACCATACATAATTTCGACACTATTTCATTAAGGTGCCAATTTCCTCTATTTCTCTCTCACTTTACAGATAAGAAATTAAATCACTGGTTGTTAAAAAGATTGTTGAAAACTAAAATAGTTTCAAAGCAAGTATCACAGTAAGTGATAGACTAGAAACATGAAAGTTTAAAGAGAATGAATAGATGTTAACCACAATTCCTTACCAACTCTAAGTATAAAGCTGATAATCTGTGAGAAGTAAAACTTAATTTGAAGGCCAAAAATCAGACAGTCATGTAAAAATCCTGAGAAGAGATGTAAGTATCAGTATTTTAACTGCTAACAGGAATACTGCTAATGATTTCTGTCATTCACACTAAACTTAAATAGCTGATAAGTATAAAAAGAAGCCATTTCACCAAGAACCAGCCTATCAGTTCACAAGTCACAGGTTTTTATGGTATCTCCTTAAGGAATGCTAATAGCACTCTGCATCATTCAGGAAAGCAGAAATGTCATTAGCTACTTGAGTTAGTCCTTTAAAATTTTTCAAAACACTCTGACTTACTTTATTTTGATTTTAACAAGCCCTCAAGTAAGGCAAGTAGTATGCTAAACTCTGGGACAGCCTGGGTTCTAGTTGTTGCTTTCCTACTCGCTAGCAATGCTTGCTTAAGGTACTCTCTTTATAGTCTGCCTTTTTTTTTGCCTTTGTCACATACAATATAGGCTTACTGCAGGTATAAAATATGATAAAATATAAGCAAAAATATTTTTAGGCACTTAGTATGTTAAAATGCTAAGATATAAAAGAGGTAGTACTTTGATGAATATTAAACAATAATTTTTGCAAAATATACCATGTACCAAACCCTAATAAAAAGGCTTCTACTTAAGGGAAATATATCACAGAAAATGGGGTAGTAAAGACATAATTAAAATAAAATGTACCATCAAAGTAGCATAGTGTGTCAATTAACAGAGAACTCAGGCACAGAAACACTAATTTTCTAAAGAGAAATACTTGATACACATTAGCCCAACTTATGGAAGTCTTACACTAGGTTTCCTACAGTGTAAATGTTTTCTGGAGGCTGTTCAGCTTTCTTCCATCGGGTGGCTGACAGACTGACTCCAAGGGTGGACTTTTAGGTCACCAGCAAAATGCCACAGAGGGCTCCCCTTTGATAAACATTAGCTCTTATTAGGTGTTGCTAAGTCAGCACAGAGTCACAGCAACCATGTGCAACAGAACAAAACCCTGCCCAACCCCATGCAATCCTCATAATCAGTGCTGTGCTTAAATCCATTGTTGCAGATGGTGTGGCTCATTCTCAATGAAGATTTTCCTTTCTTTTATTAACCCGCTATTTTCCTCAAGCATGATGTCCTTCTCCAGGGATTGGGCCCTTCTGAAAATATGCCCAAAGCGACATCCCTGTCTTCTGATATCAATTCCAGAGCATTTTCTTCTAACCCTAAGAACGCTTCATGCACCCTGAGATATAAAAAAATTAAATAAAAAAAAAATCACTTAAGAGTCCTTGGGTGGTGGAAATTACTAAACACCAGAATGGCAACCTAATGGCTGCAGGTGCAAATCCACCTGGGATTTCTTGGAAGAAAGGTCTGGAAATCTGCTTCTGAAAGGAATTACTATAAAGTGCAGGTCTCCAGTAGCACATATAGGATCGCCACCACCACCACCACAAATCTGAATCAACAGATGAAAAATGCTCTGTAGCATGTGTTCTGAAATAAAAGATCCTACTCATGTTTCAAAATATATAAAGACTCTTCAGGTCTTTTCAGGGTAAAAATAATCGTGTCTGGCCCAATTATGTTGGACTTCTTTCTTAAAATCATCAAACTATAGAGAATCCCTGTTTCTTTCCCAAGAAAAGTGAGTGATCAGAGGTGAAAAACTCTTCTTACGGGACAGTAAGAAGAATGCCATTCGTAACACTCACAGCTGTATGCTCTGAATATTAATTTTTGATATAGGACGCTTACACAACGAAACCTGTTAACGACTTCATTGTAGGTGACAAAGGAAATAATCACTAAATCTCTGCAAACACGGACGTGTATCGAACACTGGCAGCCACGGTGCGTTTATGTAATCTCAAATTACCGAAAGACACAGTGTTACAAATTCTTTTCCTCGGAACAGAATTCAATTAGGAGAAAAAGGCTCTCTTCAACATGTCTTCAAGCAGAGTCTGGAAATTAAAGGAGCATACATGCTGGATCTCGGAATACACACTCCATGTGACCGATTTCGTTATTAGAAGAAGAAACAAGTGCGTGTTTCTACAGTTCGACTCCGAATTACTGCCAGAACACAGCCAAGCACCATCAAAAGCAGTAAAACTCGTCAGCACTGTAATTGACTTTAAATTCATGGGTGTTGCAGGCGACAGAAACGCACAAGAGAAAGAGATGAGGGTTTTAAAACCACCACCAATTACTAGCTGGATAAACTTTTGGACTCTTCAGGTCTTTTCAACACGGGGGACCCGGTCCACCGGCTCCTTGAAGGGTCCGGTCTGGTTTCCATTTCGAAACCAGTTTTTTGTAGCGTTGCTGGGGCGGAAGGAAAAAGGGCATTTTTCAGGCCCGGAAAAAGCCAAGATCTGTGTCCAAGGGCGGGACGCCCCATTTCAAAGGGTACCCACTTTTAAGCCGAAGAGACTGGACTGTTGGTTCGACCCGCTCTCCCTCCCGTGCGGATCGCGGACAGCCGGCGTCGGGGGCAGCGGGGAGGCCCGCCGCACAGCCGGCCGGACACTTCCTTCCCGCGCAGGGACGGGATCTTCGTCCAGGGCCCACCCTCCCGACCACCCTTCACCGGCCCCTGACCAAAGTGAGTTCTCGGAGAGCCCCTGCAGAGAGATGAGATACCTGAGCTATGTGTGTGAACTCGCACTGCAGCCCCGCGTTGAGCTCTTGGATTGGGAAGACCTGACTTGCTCCACAAGCAACAGCCACCTAGAAGCCTCAGCGTGTGCTGCGCCGGACTCCACTGCGCATGCGGAGCCACCACGCAAGCGCCACCCTTGTAAGCGGCCCCTCTCTGCCACTGATCATAGAGTCCAGGTCCTCCGAGAACTGGAAAGGCAGTGGCTCATAGAAAGCTCAGGAAAGTGACACTTTTTCATTCTCTTTATTTTTTTCACTGGGTAACCTGTGTGTCTCAGAAAAGAGGCAGGACTCTGTACGCGAAGAATGGGTTCTTTCTCAAATATCTAGTCAACCATGAGGTGGCGCTGTGAGGAAAGACCCAAAATGATGGGAGAGAAGGCGTGTCCTCTTACCGCCCGTCCCAGGGCGCATGTGGTTATGGCGCAGCCGCAAGGGAGCTGAAGAGGGAGGAACTACTGACAAACCGGACTAGGGCGGAAGTCCCGAGGTGTGCACTCCTCAACATCCGGGCATCACATTTCTCATCCTCCCCGCCCTCTCTTTCTCCTGTGCTAACAGGAAACGGAAGTGGGGTGTGTATCGACTGCCTCTTAGCAACGCAAGAGGTCAAATGACCTAACCAGCTGACTCCAGTAGGGAAGGGTTTGTGGCTGCGGGAACTGGAGCTGGTGGTGCAGCCACCGTTGCCCGGCCGGGTATTCGAGCCAAACTGTCATCGCCAAAATGTCAGGAAAAGACCGAATTGAAATCTTTCCCTCTCGAATGTAAGTAAGAGAAGGAGAGAGTCACCCAGAGAGGCCCTCAACACCTGTCTAGGGTGCGATCTCTTCATACGGTGGAACCGGTAGCGTGATTTCGCGTTTTCTGTGCCTTTCCTGAACTGTATCTCAGTCGGTTTTCGTTAGTCTGGAGGGGAGTGCTTTGACAGCTCATACACCAATTAGTCGGAGTGAACCAGACAGGCTCGAGCAATCCCAGCCGGTTGGAACAGGTGCTCGGCCTTTTGACTTGCGTGGAGGCTTCCTGTTTTCACTGTAACCGAGTTATTCAGTCCACAGATCTTTACTGAGGCCTGCTGTGTACCAAGGCCACTGCTGAGCAGGGCGTCCGTGTAACTGGCATCACCCATTAGTGGAGAGACAGACATTTCTGAGAAGGGATGTTCAGTGCGGTCGGAACACAGAAGAGGAGCCCAATTCACGTCGAGGGTTAAATAAAATCGCCCCACCATGGACGTCAGACTAGTGCTTCCTTCTCGTAGACCCAGTGAACTGTCACTGGCTGTAACAAGAAATCCCCGCATTTGCTCTGTCATCATTCCCTTGCTCACATTTCTGTTCATCCATCACATTATAAAATGAGTATTTGTTGACATGCCTTTGTTTTGTGCGTAACTGTGAACTTTCTCCAGGTTGAGAGTTTGTCTAGATTTTTTAAAATTAATTTTAATGAAAGTTTACAGAGGCTTAGAATTTCCAGTCATTCCTTGTTGCACTTTTCTCCCTGCCCACCCCCTCCCCCATCACTCTTTTTCTAGAAAAGAAAAAGAAAAATTCTTTCATTGTTATGCAATCCCTCCCCCCAAGTTCACGCCACTACTATGCAGCCTTCACTCTGGACTTCTGTAATGAGTTTGTCTAAATTTTTAACTTATACCTGATCCATAAAAATTGTAACCTGACAAACTCTTGCTTTGGAATGTATTCATCTTTAAGGCTGCTGTTCTCTTTTAGCCCGAGTTCTTTGACAGGAGACTTCACAGAGCATCTTAGATGTTCGAACAGTTGGTTAAGAAATGAGGGTTGTTTTGGGTTTGTTGTTTGGTTTTTTTTTTTTTCCCATCTGAAATGTACCTAACGACCTGTAGGCTGTTCTCATCTTGTGCTTTCTCCTGCCTCCTGTTTTTGCTTTTCTGTTTTGCAACGAGAAAGCTCAATATCAGCTTTGGCTCTGAGATTTATATTTCAAGTGGTCGTGTCTCTGAGAGTTTTTGTTGTTTTTCTCCTTTTGTATTCTTTGCTGTAAAGACTCTAAAGCTATTGAAACTTTATTAAACCCTAAACCCAGTTCTAATGTGGCCAGGGTGACTATACTTCTTAATGAAAGATTTTTCTTCTATTCTTGCCTTCACCTACTGGTTCTTTAATAGCTATTTATCCTGCATGAGAAGCAAGCTAATTGTGGAGAAAGGTGATATCTATATAACTGAATTAAGAATTTCCATGAAATAGGATCAGAAATACTCTCAAATCTCCGTTGTTGTGGGTTTTTTTTACATTATTTTGCGATACTCAAAACGCTTACATTTACTGTTTTTACCTTATTTCACATGATCAAGGGTAAAATGTGCTTATTTAGGCTAAGATAAGAAAAATGAGGCTTACTGGAAGTAAAAATTGCTGAGAGGAAAAGCAAATACAGGATGTAATCATAGCTAAGTATTTTTCATGTGGCCCAAGAGCAGGTACTTTGTCATACAGTCAGATGTCTCTGATTCAACTGGAAACTAAGCCATCATCTTAGTTGAAGGTCGAAAGTTTTTTCCAATAGTGCTAAACTTCTCTGAAATATGTCGAAAAGCACGGTTTTTCTTTATACCTAATAATAGAAAATATTGGCAATTACTGTTCCACAGTTTCACTTAGCAGTATTATCCTGCAAAATGTTAACTCTTAAAACTGCTTACATACCCGAGAAACCAAAATGAGTTTAGACTGGGACCCTAAGAGGCTTGCAGGATTTGGAACTGACAGAGGTTTGTCAAACCTAGGTTCTACTGTGTAGTTAGACATTGGGCAATCCCATTTAGAGTCTCAACATGAAAAATTTGCCCACTTCACAGAGATACTGTAATTTCAGAGAAAATGAAAATGAACATGTAGAATTTAATCTTAGTAATCAGTTCACTTTTATACTAGAAACTTGCTGGAATCTGGAGTACTAGGTTTTGACTGAAATTTGATCCAAATCTTTTGAGTCCAAATTTTGGTGGTTAGTGTCAACAAAAAAGTATGTTAAATATACACATTGGAGTAGTTAGCTCCTGCTCTGGCTGAAATCTGAACCAGCTTTACCTGGTTAAAATGCCACTGAAGTTACTCAGTGCAAAGTCAGCTTTTCCAAAGAACTTTTGTCTGATGGTACATGTAAAAACTCTTCAAGGAGAGGCAGTGTGGGCTGCGGTTGGGGTGCCGGGGACTTAGGTTAGAGGCTTAGTTTGAGCATTAGACAATTCACTGGAGTTAGAAATTTGTGTGGTTCAAGTTCTTGCCCTGCTTTTTCTTCTCAGAGTGACCATGGGAAAGTTGCTTCATCTTTATGAGCTTCATTTTCCTGATCTTTGAGATAATATCTGGAGTCATTTCCATCTCATATTTTCTCATTAACCATAACCCAAAGGCAAAAGTCCAACACATTAGTGAAAACCCTGTGAATACGCTATTTTCCTTTTTAAAAAATTTTATTGTTTTCTGTGTGTGTGTACCGTCCAATTGGATCTGACAGGTACAGGAGGAAATGGCCCCTTCTTCTCCGGCAGAGCATCTGGTGGATTCAAACCACATATCTCTGGGATTGCAGTGCAGCTTTTTGCCACTAGGCCACCAGAGCTCCCCGTGAATACGCTATTTTATACCATTAGTCGTATGGACTTATATCCCCTTTAGCAATTCTTTAGGTATCTAGGTTCTACAGTCTGTTTTGAATTTTATGACTGACTCCCACACCTCACCCCTCATTTTTTATCCCCCATTACTAAATGTTATGGCAACAAAAATGAAAATGTCAATTTCTGCTGCTGTTTTCTTGACTTTGGTATTGGGGCGTGTGATAAGAACAGGCTTCAGGGTAAATGTAAAGTGGCTGTTCTTTGAAACTTATAGATGCCATTTGTTTCCTAGAGTCATTTACAAAGGGATAAAGAGATTGTTATTGTATCTTCACTGATGCAGTCCAAAAGACATCAAAGCTACATTTAAAAAAATATTAATAATTGCTTGTATAAAATTAAAAAGGTTACAGAAAGAGTATACAAATACACACACACACACACGTTTTTTTTTACCCAGTCTCATTTTGCAAAGATAAATCATTGTCACCAGTTTCTGTGGATCTTTCCTAGAATTGTGCATTAATACAAGGAATAATAGTCCTTTGTACAGCAGTGGGCACTTCAAATGCAAGTCTATTCTTTGTAACAAAATTCTGTTCCATGTTGTTTACCCTTGAGTTGGAACTGACCCATAGCTGACTCTCCAGCGGGAGGAGATTGCCCATCTTTCTCCCGTGGAGCAGCTGGTGGCCTCCAACTGCATGCCTTCAGGATTGCAGTGCAACTTCTTGCCACTAGGCCACCAGAACTCCATACTGTTCCGTATGTATGTATGTATGTATGTATGATGTTGCTTATTGCCTTTGAGTCAAGCACAACTCATAATGACCCTATGAACAAAAGGCCTGAAGCCCCTCTACAACTATCAACATTTATCAAAGTTCATAGAGTTTCTGGAGGCATGTTATTTAGGAAGTATATGCCACTCCTGCTTCCAAGTATTTATGATATGTATGCGTTTTTTTCTTTTTTGTGACTACTTATTCTGCACTTTTGCTGTTATAAATATAGTTACAGTGTTTCCTCTGCCAGTGCTTCTGCTGTACACACAGGAGTAAATATGTAGGATGACTTTTTCAAAGTGAAACTGCTGGTCTGATGGTAAATTTGTTTCAGATTTAACATGGACAAATACATAGAAGTTGTTACTGTTGTTGTTGTTAATGTGTCATAGGTGACTCATGGCGACCCTGTGAATGAAAGTCCTCAACACTTGGTGTGACTTTCATACTTTCTCCAGATTCATAGGGTTTCTGGAGGCAAGCTATTAAGGAAGTGGATGCCAGTCCTGCCTCCAAGACACTTACAAGTGAAAATAAATGTGAACTTTTTACCATTAAATCAGAACTGACTCATAGCTGATCCTTCATCAGGTTTTCAGAGGCTAGAGGTCACAAAGAGGAGATAGGTCATCCTTCTCCTATGGAACAGCTAATGGATTCAACCTTTGAGTTGGCAGCACAACTCCTTACCTACTAGGTTGTCAGAGTTCCGTGTGTGTGTGTGTGTGTGTGTATGTGTGTGTGTGTGTGTGTGTGTGTCAATGTATATAAATATAAAATTTTGGGTTTTTTAAAGAGTGTTAGATACTGAAACAATATTTTAACTAATAAACAAGTATTTATAATTGGCATGCAAATAGGGCTGCTGGGTAACATTAGGATTTAATAACTATGTATTCTAGCTACTAAGGGAACTCTGGTAGCCTCCTCTACAGGGATTTGTGCTACTAACCCTAAGGGCATGTGTCTCTGGCAGTTTGAACCCATCAGTGGCTCAGAGGGATAAAGATGTGCAGTCTTCTCCCATGGGATTAACAGCCTCAGAAACTCAGTGGAGACTCAACTATTTGTTAGTCCCCACTCAAAGGCAATGAATAAGTGAGATATTTCTTAGATAATTGTTTTAAATACATTATTCATCTGCCAGACATTCAGGGTAGAAAACTACAATATTGAAAACCAACTAAAACTTGTCAGCTACAAATTATGTATATTCTCACTCATGAAGTCAAAGAATAAAGCATCATTTTAACATTGTTGAGGAGCTATTTTGTTTCTTTAAAACAACGTATTTGATTCTTCTTTTTCAGGGCCCAGACTATCATGAAGGCTCGGTTGAAAGGTGCACAGACAGGCCGAAACCTCTTGAAGAAAAAATCCGATGCTTTAACTCTTCGATTTCGACAGATCCTAAAGAAGATAATAGAGGTAGGATACACATTGCCCAGAACAGTATTCATTTTGTGACACTTGGCATTTTGAATTCTTATCTAAGGTTTTGTAATTAATTCCCTCTGAAAAAAATTTAAAATGCCATTGTCATTCAAACAAGCTTAGAGAGTTTATTTTATGAAATGCAAATCCGTTACCCTTGTGTTAAAATCTCTGTTGGATCAAATCTGACTAAATTTTTTCCTAGTTCTTCCTCTATGACGTTTATGTTGGTTAAGTTTTTATCTGAAATACTCTTCTCCCAATTTTCTCATAACTCTCTGGCCATTGTGTCCTCTTCAGAGAGGCCATTCCTGGCTACCCAATCTGAAATGCTACCTAAATTTCCCTCCAACGTCTCGTTTTATTTTTATCATAACACTACTGAATGATACTGCCTAATATGTTCTCCCTACTAGATTGTAAGAATGAGAGCAGAGACTTTGTTTTTCAGCACTGTTTTTCCAGTGCCAAAAATAATGCTCTGGTAGCCTAGTGAGTAAGGAGTTGTGCTGCCAGATCAGAGGCAGGGGGGGTCAAATCCTTCAGCTGTTTTAACAGGAAAGATGGGCACTGTCCACACATGCAGTTCATAGCCTCTGAAAACCTTTTGGAGGGTCAGCTGTCAGTTCCAGCTTGATGAAGAAGAGATGAAATGACGACGAAAATAATGCCCTGGGGAGCAGTGGGTAGCCTATTGAGTGGCCTTACTGAAAGGTTGGCAGATTCAAATCCACTAGCCACTCTGTGGGAAAATGATGGGCAGTCTGTTCCCATAGGTTTTAAAGTCTCAGGAAACCAGTTGTAGGAACTGGAACTGACCTAGTGGCCGTGAGTTTGGTTTTATAAAACAGTGCTAGGGGCTCTGTGACACAGGATGTAAAGTATTTGCTTATAATTAAAATGCTGGCAGTTCAGACCTGCCGTGCTCTGAAGAAGCAAGCCGTGACTGTCTGCCTCCATTCAGACTGACAGACCTAGAAGTCCCCTAGGCTCCTTGTCAGAATTGACTTGGCAGCAGTAGATTTGGTTTGGTTTAATATAATGTGGACATGTAATGGGTTTTAATTCATCACTTTTTGGGCAGATGCTATGTGACTACAGAAATTTGTTGGTTTTTTAAATTATCTTTTGATAAATTGTTGTTGTTTTTAGGTGCATCGGGTTGAGTATGACTCATAGTGACCCTGTGAACAAAAGATCTAAACCCTGTTCTATATCCTGTGCCATCCTCATGCTTCCTGACACACACGAACCCATTTCAACAGCCATCATGTCCACCTAGTTGAGGGTCTTCCTCTCCTTTTCCAGCACTCCACCCTTCCCAGCATCATGTCCTTCTCTCAGGAATAGCCCCTCCTAGCAGCATGCCCAAAGTTTGTGAGACAAAGCCTCATCATTCTTGATTTCAGAGAACACTCCACCCACTCCAAGACCTATCTGTTTGTTCTCTTTCTGCTTTATTGACTATATGCAAAGACATTTGATTGTGTGGATCATAACAAGTTATGGCTAACATTGAGAAGAATGGGATTTCTAGAACACTTAATTTTGCTCATGCAAAACCGATATCTCAACCAAGAGGCTGTTGTGTGAACAGAGCAAGGGAACACTGCGTGGTTTAAAATTAAGGGAGTGTGTCAGGGTTGCATTATCTCTCCATTCCTATTTAGCTTGTATGATGAAAAGATTATTTGAGAAGCTGGACTCTGTGAAGAAGAATGTGGCATCAAGTTTGGAGAAAAATTCATCAGTAACCTGCATTATGCACATGACACAGCCTTGCTTGATGAAAGTGATGAGGACTTGAAACACTTGTTTCAGAAGATCAAAAAATATAGCCTTCGATTTGGATTGAATCTCAATGTCAAGAAAAATTCTAAACACTGGCACATCACAATAGAGAAAAGATTGAAATTGTCAGTAACTTAAACTTACTTGGATTCACAATCAACACCCTTTGTACCAGCAGTCAGAATATCAGGAGACCTATTTCATTGGTAAGTCTGCAGTCAGGGACCTCTCCAAATTACAGAGGTGCAGTACTGTCAGTTTGAGGACTAAGGTCCGTCTGTTCAGGACATAGTCCTTTCACTCATTTGCTATGCATCTGAGAGCTGGACCGTGAATAAGGATGACAGAAGAAGAATTGATGTGTTTGAGCTGTATTCTAAACATCCCATGGACTGCCAAAAGAACAAATGTGTTTTGGAGAAAGTACAGCCAGAATGCTCCTTGGAGGCAAAGATGTTAAAGCTTTGGGTCACATACTTTAGGCATGTTGGTAGGAGACACTGTTTCTTGGAGAGGGACATGATGTTTGGAAAGGCAGAAAGTCAGTGAGGAAGAGGAAGACCCTCAACCAGGTGGATTGACGCAGTGACTGCCACAATGGGCTCTTGCATGTCAGGAAATGTGAATATGGCTCAGGATAGAATGGGGTTCAGATCTGTTGTTCATTGGATTGCTGTGGGTCGTACATTACTGTACAGCACCTAACAACTACATTAACAAAATGTTCAAATAATAATTGGAATTAAAAAAAATTTTTTTTCCATTTTCATGCACCATGTAAGCATAACATACTGCTAATTATTAAAGGATCATAGTTAACGTTTTCCTTGTAAAGAACTTAGTTGAATTTGTGGTCTGTGCTTTTCCAGACTAAAATGTTGATGGGTGAAGTGATGCGAGAAGCTGCCTTTTCACTAGCTGAAGCCAAGTTCACAGCTGGCGACTTTAGGTAAGAAGACTGAATGTGATGTTTTGAGAAAACAAACTGCTTTCATGTTAATAATTTTATTTTAAAAATACTTAAATATTAACAACCAAGAACATTTTTAAGCCTCATAACCCAAATACCATTATTTTTATTGCCATCCACATGCATTTTTACATAGTTCCTGGACAGGTTATGTAATTAATTAATTAATTTTTATTTTATTATTTTTTTTTTTTTAGGATATGTAGTAGTTTATAATCTGTTTGCTTTTAACATTCTGCCATGGACATTTTTTCTATGTCATATGGTTGCATAATTTTATCTGTTGTGGTGGTGGTGTACCATTGAGTCAGAACCTACCCAAAGCTGACCTTACAGCAGGTTTTCACAGGCAGTTTATCGCTTGGGAGCAGACTGCCCATCCTTCTCCCACAGAGCATATGGTAGATTTGAACTGCATGTCTTCAGGATTGCAGCATAGCTTTTTGCTAGGAGGCTACCAGAGCTCCCTAGATAGACCACAATTTATTAACTCTTCTAATGATTGGGCTTTAGGTTTTCGGTTTTTTTGAATATTTCCCTCCCCCCCTTTTTTAAAAATTATTAAATTTTATTAATTTTAATGAACATTTACAGAAATTTTTGGTTTTCATTCATTCATTGTTGCACTTTTTTTTTTTTAATATTAAGGAGTGTGTGCAGTGGGAACTTTCATGCATTTTTCTTGGTTTCTAGTAAATGATTTCTTTCTAAGAATGAAATTACTTAAAGGACTTGAGTTTTATGACTTTTACCATAGGAGTCCCTAAGTGGTGCTTGCTTAGCTACTAACAAAAAAGTGGGCAATCCAGACTCATCCAGAGGCATCTTGAAAGGCCTGGCATTCTGCTCCTGTATGGTCGTAGTCATGAAAACTCTGAGGAGCACAGCTTTGCTTTTGCTAGTTTATGCTTCAAAGCTATGTATTGTGTACAGAGTAGTTTACATTATTACTTTACAAAGGAGTTTTACCAGTTTCTCAGTGTTAACGTGATTTTCAAAGTGGCTCTTATGATGTGGATGAAGCAAACACCATTTAACTCTGTTTATGTTCACTATCTTCCTGAAGTCATCAGGATAGATAGATACAGGTGAGAGTTGCTTCAGGGTTTCTGATTTTAGTCTTTCCCCAGTGGTACACACGATACCTTCTTTCTTTTCTTGTTTAGAAACTATTATCCTGAAAAATATACATAACAAAATGATTATACTCTGTCCTCCTCTTTTTCCAAATCATTCTGCCTCTGTTAATATACTTACAGTGTGTCCTTTAGCTAAATATTCCCCCAGTATATGCATTCCTGGCTGTCCAGTTGATCCCAGTTCATGGTGACCCCATGTGTGACAGAGAAGAACTATGCTCTTAGGATTTTCAGTGGCTGATATTTTGGAAGTAGATCACCAGGTCTTTTTTCTTAGGTGTCTTTGGGTGGACTTGAACCTCCAGTCTTCCATTTAGCAGCCCAGTGCTGTAATGTTTACACATCCCAGAGACTTTGCCTTCATCATTAGTGTGGTGTTTGTGTTTGTTTTTTTTTAAATTTTATTGACTTGTGTATAATCATTCATATGCATTTTGTTTCGTGTATGTATTTTTTGTGTTTTATACAGTAATTGTGTTTCATTCATGTTCCTTGAGTAATATATGTATAAATATTCAAAAGGGGTAAGAGAGAAAAGGGGAGCAGAAAAAAGAGAAGATGGGGGAATCACTTAGTTTGTTTTTAAGAGCTTACCTGGCATCAGATCTTACACAGCCAGAGTGTGTGTGTGGCGGGGATAGGTGTAAGGATACTACCATTTAAAGTAGTAAACAGGCTTTAATTTTTTTTACCAATACTGGTATGATTAAAAATGGCATTGATTTTTTTTCCTTGCAGAAGGTGAGAATAATATTTAAATGTGTTTTTTTAAACAATTTTTACATTTTATTTTATTATTGTGTGTGTGTGTGTGTGTGTATGTGTGTGCTGTCAAATTGGATCTGACAGGTACAGGAGGAGATTGTTCCTCCTTCTCCAGCAGAGCATCTGGTGGATTAGAACTGTGCATCTCAAAAAGAAAAAAGAACTGTGCATCTCTGGGATTGCAGTGCAGCTTCTTGCCCCTAGGCCACCAGAGCCTACCAGTATTTAAATGTTTTATAAATGTGGTTCAGGTTTGTTGTGGAGAAAACACATTGCTTTAGGAGACTTAACAGGGAGTCAGACAAGGTTAATGGAAGTTAGATAGGTTTTAGAATAAAAAAATGGAATGCTTTACTTAACCAGGTGAATAGTAAACCTAGAAAGAAGCAGTTTTCTCTACAGTAGGTGTACAGTAGAACTTAAAACCATACATACCATGTGTATGATTGAAAACGGAAGTGTTTTAAGCACTTTGCAAATTGTGTGTCCTTGTTTTTTTATGGCTTATGTGGTTAGGAGCCCTGGCGATTATGTGTTTAAGCACCTCTTGCTAACCAAAAGGTCAGCAGTGCATTCAAAGGGTCAACAGGAAAACACTTTTTTTTTCTTTTTTTTTTTTTTAACAGAAAAGCATTTGACAGCATGCTTCCATAAACATTCACAGCTTTGGGAGCTCTGTGACTGCTCTGTTGCTGTGAGTCCACGTGAACTCAGCAGCAGCTGGTTTAATGCTTTGAATGTTCTTCATTTCTGCTCTGTCACACTTCTGGCAGCAGAAATTTCTCTCCTTTTTGGGAAAAGACAAATATCAAAACTTCCTTAGTTGTGACATCCCTTTTTTGGTTTACTAGAACATTGAAAGTATCCAGTGGATTCCTTTAGTTTATTTTTCACCCTGAAAACACAACTAAATCAGGGCTTTTTCTTTCTCTGTAGCACCACAGTTATCCAGAATGTGAACAAAGCCCAGGTGAAGATTCGTGCAAAGAAAGATAATGTAGCAGGTAATTTTTCAATCCTGTAAAAGCTACCAGGGTTGGAACAGAAGAGATTTGAAAATAACCTGTGTAAGTAGCAAGACTTAGATTTTCCAGTTTCTTTGCCTTGGAGCAAGTTGATTGCTTGGTTTTACATGTTAAAACCAGTGTAATAATCAGATCTCTTATTTCTTACAGTGATTTGACTCTGACGAAAAATGACCAATTAAAGCAGGTTCCTAAATTCATTCATTGGAGCCAGTTATAATTCTAGACTTAATCTCTTGACTTTGTGTAGTTAATGAAGAAGAAACACCAGAAACAGTGGCTAGGAAATAGTACTTCATGAGTCTTTTTGTGATTTAAGGCATTCTTCTCTGTTTAACAGGTGTTACTTTGCCAGTGTTTGAACATTACCATGAAGGAACTGACAGTAAGTAGGAAACTTATAGCTAGAAACTTTTCTTTACATGTTCAGTCACCCATTAGATGTCTGTATTGTCTTTCTATACCAGATTTCCAGATTTGGTCTTTTTAATGTAGAATTTCAGACATTGTTGTAGTCTGAATATGGGATCTTTGTAGATATTTTAGCTCCTTCACAATTCTAAATTGTCGTACCCATTCCTAATTTGAGTTAGACAATGAAGAAGACAAGTTAGACAAAGACTGAAGAAGAATCGATGCCTTTGAATTGTGGTGCTGGAGAAGAGTATTGACTAGACTGTGGATGACTTTAAGAACAAACCAGCTTGTCTTGGAGCAAGTACAACCAGGGTGCTTCTTAGGCGCAAGGATGGTGAAACTTTGTCTCACTTACTTTGGATATATTGTCAGGAAGTGCCAGTCCTCGGAAGACGCCATCATGCTGGGAAAGGTGGAGGGTCAGCAAAAGAGGAAAACCCTCAACAAGACGGAAAGAGACAGTGACTACAGCAGAGGGTTGAGCAGGACAGATTGTGACAAGGGCCCGGGACAGAGCAAGGACTTGTGCGTCGGCTTGCTGTGTATAGCAAGCAGTCAAGTCCATGGCGTTAAAGAAATGATTTTTTTTTTTAAAGTAGTAACATATTCTAGTCAACTTTTTTCTTTTCTTTTTCCATCAAAATACTATTCTTTCTGGCCTTTATAGTTTAGATAATATTTATAATTTAGATAATAATATATAATTGGTTTAGATAATATCTGATTAAATCATACAGAATAAGTGATAACAGTTTATATAAAGACAAAATGTTTCTGATCGTTGCCTGCTAAAAGAGCATCACTGTATCATGGCAATTAAGAAGTATGGTTTTGCTTTAAAATTCAGCAAGCTGGTGAAGTGGAGGTTGGATGAAAGCTTCCCCTGCTTTATAGATTTATACTATATATATATATTTTTTTTTTTTACATATATATTATTTGTAGAAAAATCTCTCTGTGGAGAACTTCACTCAGCAGCATTGTCTTGCAGTGTCTGGAGCGTGAGGTGGACACTTCATGTTTGTGTTTGACCAGTCACTGAATTTATCTTTCCATGATCAGTGGTAGTGTGCATTATCTTCTTTTTAGGAATTATACAGGGAAGATTGTTTCTTTTCCGTAATTACAAATGTTGTCTGACTGGCTCTTTCAGGTTATGAACTGACTGGTTTAGCCAGAGGTGGGGAACAGTTGGCGAAGTTAAAGAGAAATTATGCCAAAGCAGTGGAACTACTGGTGGAACTCGCTTCACTGCAGGTAAGCAGCAAACCAAGAGACTTCCTGCAGTTTTATTATTAATAATCAAGCAAAAGAGAATCCGGTCTTGGGTCAGAGGATACCATAGTAATCCAAACATTTCATAAACCATTGTGAAATTAGACCTAAAATCTTTTAATGTCTGAAATGGTGGCTTCAGCACCTTTTTCCTGCTTTTTATGCCTAACAAAAGGTTATACAGTTTTGCTAGATGAAAAACAGCAAGTAGAGAAATAATATAACGTGGCTTTATGCATGAAGATAATAGTTTTTCTTGTCTAAGCACTTACTGGAGACCTCGGGTGGTTTAGTCCATGCAGGTTTGCATTTCTAACCTAGAGTTGTTCTCTGGTGATTAAGTTCACCAGCGGGTCTGAGAGTGAGATGTGCAGTCTCCTCCTTTGTGACTTACAGCCTCTGAAAATCCAATGAGGGTCAATGCCGAGTCAGTCCAGATTCAGCGGCAATTAGAGATTTTAAATACATATCCACGTTACTAGTTTATGCTTTTCCCACTTGCCATTTCTTTATTTGAATCTGGAAATAAAAAAGACTTACACTAACAAATAATGCTAGATATATGGAAATCTCACCAGAATTTAGGTCCCGTTATTTTCTAGTTTGAGAGGAGTCAAGTGAACAGCAGGGTTAGGATGATTTGTTTTTATTTTATCATTAATGTGTCCTTTCATTTCAGACTTCATTTGTTACCCTCGATGAAGCTATTAAGATAACCAACAGACGTGTAAATGCTATTGAACATGGTGAGTGTAAATTGCTGTGAGGGTGTCTTGCTCATCCTCTGTTTTTTTTTTTAAATTTTTGTGTGGGTGTACAGTCAAATCAGATCTGACTGGTACAGGATTGCTCATTCTCTTGTCCACACCATCATTATCTCTGAAGCTTTAGAAGGGTTTAAGACAGTGCATCTGCTGACAGTAAGCGAAGAGCAGTATGTGGCAAGTACAACAGAAAGTTACAAAGTGGTTGCTACAAGTGTGTGTATGATTGAAGGAGTTGTAGAAGAAAGTGGTGAGTTAAAGACAGAATGCCTTACGAGGGAGGTTCTGATTATGCATGTAGTATTCAAACTGTTTTAAAGAGCCTCCCCCCTTCTCACTGCCTCCAGGTTTCTTATGCTCCCCCAATGATTAATCAATAAATCTGGTTAATATAATGCTTAATGTTAAATTTTCCTTCTTTGAGGCTTATGTCTTTTTTTTTTTTTTTTAGTCATTATTTTTTGTGCATGCACCGTCAAATCAGATCTGACTGGTACAGGAGGAAATTGCCCCTCCTTCTCCGGCAGAGCATCTGGTGGATTTGAACCGTGTACCTCTGGGATTGCAGTACAGCTTCTTGCCACTAGGCCACCAGAGCTCCCCTGAGGATTATGTCTTGACTTGCTGAACTCTCATTTCTAAAAATAGACTTCCCCATTTTGATTCATTTTTCTTTTATTCGTTTATGATTGTTTAGTGTTGATAATACTTTTTGTGCAATTAAATCACATTTTTAAAATAGTGAAGAAGCAAAATCTGAACTGTAAAGATACTTAACTTGAAGCTCTTTTACTGTTAGAAAGGAAGTTATCTGGTATTTTAAAAACACAAAGCACCTTTTTTTGACTGCTTACTAGTGCTTCGTATATAGAGCTGCAAACAAAAAAGTGAAAAAGGTAGCAGTACTCATCAAGAGTTCAGATTCTAAAAGCAGAATAAGTAAATTCTATGTAAAGTGGTGCTGGAGAAGAATATTGAATGTACCATGGACTGCCAAGAAACAAACAGATTCATCCTGGAGGGGGTTAAACCAGGCTACTCTTTGGAGGCAAGGATTCTGGGGCTTCGTCTGACATACTTTGGACATATTGTAAGGAGAGACGGGTCTTTGGAGAGGGACATCATGCTTGGTAGGGAAGAGGGACAGCGCAGGAGGGGAAGACCCTCTATGAGGTGGATTGATTCAGTGACTGGGGTAGTCGGAATGGGTGTGTCAGAGGCAATGCGATTGGCACAGGATAGAGCAGGATTTAGAGCTGTTATACATAGGGTCGCTATGAGTCGCAAACAGCTTGACAGCACATAACATCAACAACAAACAATGTAAAGTAGAACCCAGTAACTCACATAAAATGTGAATTATTGTAATATTTAAAGACATTTCTGTGGTTCAGTATTACATATCCATATATATAGTTAATAGTCATTATTTTGGTCTGAGATGTTATCTATAGATTAAAAAAAAAAAAACCACCAAGACAGTCAAAGAGCAAATACCAAATATTAAAGAGCTGAACAGAAGATTCCAAAAGGCTGCTCGGAATGACAAAGCAAAATACTACAATGAAATGTGCGAGGAGCTAGAGTCAGAAAATCAA